ACCACCACAGAAGACAATAGAGATAAACTTTACAAACCACCCAGAAACAATAGAGATAAACTTTACAATCCACCACAGAAGACAATAGAGATAAACTTTACAAACCACCCAGAAACAATAGAGATAAACTTTACAATCCACCACAGAAACAATAGAGATAAACTTTACAATCCATCACAGAAACAATAGAGATAAACTTTACAATCCATCACAGAAACAATAGAGATATACTTTATAATCCACTACATAAGACAATAGAAATAAACTGTACAATAATAGATTCTATTAATTACGTGTATGTGTGGTTGTTCCCTAGGTACCCCAGGAATATGAAGATTTGTATTCCGATATCGAAGATGATCGACAAAGGAAATTTTATGGTATGTATAATTTAAACTTCGTATCTAGGGACACTAAAATATTGAATCTTAATCAAATACAAGCATTTGTCTAGTATTGTAAAACAAAAATTAAAGACAAAACAATTGTTTGTAGTATAAAGTCTCCGGGCTGTTCTGAGTCAGAATGTGAGTGATGTTACTCTGTTACAATTTACCTAATTAGCAAAATAGCGGCCATGATAATGTAATTAATATGTTTACCGTTTACTCTGTCATCTATATGTCAGCCATAATTAATTTACATATTTAGGTTTGGATAATGGAATAAACGTTCATACATTTTTTAACATATAGAAACAACATTTCAATGAATCATTTCATTCTGCAATGAAACAATACATTTAAGATTTTTGTATTTTTGAATTACCCGAAATACAATTTAAAGATTTTATTAACATAACAACTGCACCCCATCCTATGTGACTTATATATTTCAGGTTCGCTATTTTTTTTTCTAACTACAAAAAATGTCATAAGTTGTAAATGAACCAATAACATTATTATCTGGGTTTAAATAGAAAAAACATTATATTATCTCACTTCTTCAGGAAAGTTGTCTGTAATGGACAATTCAATTGGCCTTTTGGTGGATGCGTTGAAGACACGTGGAATGTGGGAAGATACGCTATTTATATTCACATCTGACGTAAGTATTAGTTAATTTCGGCTGTTGCAATTTCAATGTGTTTAGTCATTAAACATGTTTAATATGTGTCCACTTCGATTGATTCTTCATGACACAATGTTCATTCATACAGAATGGAGCGTTAGCATCTGAGTCTGGATCAAATTGGCCATTACGGGGAAATATTGCAACACTGTTTGAAGGCGCTACTCGTGTACCAACATTTTTCCATGGGAGTATGTTGAAGAATACCGGATACGTAAATAACGAGTAAGTTACTGGTAGTTAATCACAGTGTTGCTCACGACTGATTTAACGTTTTCTAAATATGCCACCATTTGCAATATTTAAAACTATGGTGTAAGCTATATTTACTGCTTGCCCGGTAGTATCACGTTGTTTATATTGTAGGGCTATTTTGTGTAAAACAAGTTTGTTAAAAAATATTGAATTTGGTAGTAGGGGTCAGTGGCAATATAAAACGTAATACTTGATAGGCACTTCAGAAGACCTGTATATATTTTGGTATATATATTGATGGTCCAATGTTAATAAAATTAGAAATACCTAAATAAAATGTCAAACCCCTCCCCCTTATTTGTATCTTTTGTTGGATGGTTTTTGGATGGTTCTAGACGAACTTCATGGCGAACTTCATATTCTTCCACATAGCGACCATACAAGATAATAGTATGATGTCACAGATCGGTCAAGTGAAGGATAATGTGAAGTATATTCGTTAATATATATTGACCAATACGAGGGTCACAAGCCTGAGTCGATGTCAAATATATGAATTATCTGACGTACACACAGGGTTTTTGGTGGACAATCAAGTTCAACTTGTTCTGTTAGTATAAATGTGTACAAGTGTGTGGATATGTGTTTCCATTATTAACATTTCGAGATTAAAATATCGCAGGAGTGTGGCATTACACTGTGAATCCAACTTATATTATCTATAAAGTGACACGGCTCGTAAGCCGACTGACATTGAATTCCTGGTAGATCAAATTAAAATTTGTTGTCCTCAGAGCTTGGAGTTGTAACGTATGTTAATTTCCATTTGTTTCGTACATCAGGTTGATGCACATTGTCGATTTACATAAAACAATAATTGAATTGGCTGGGGCTAAAACTGGTAAGAGAGTTTAAAACTATTTCAAAATACATTCAATCGCATGGTGAATTAACTATAGCTTCTATAATCTGCATTGTATTGTACTTGACAGAGTGTGATATTGACGGTATGGATTTGTGGAAGACAATCTCAAAAGGTAAACCATCGCCAAGAACAGAATTTGTATATAATATCGATGATAATGAGCTGTCCCCCGGTGCTGCCATCAGGTAAGCGTTAATACAATTCACGCGTCTATAACTATGTTCAAATTTAGTTCGTAAACATATACAAGATGGGATCTTTGTATAATATACCACGTTGATGACCCATAATTTACAACCCGTTGGCTACAATTCTTAACAATGACGCATACAGTGAGAGACTGTGTTGCCTATTTGTTAAGTGTGTACTCGTGTATGTGCAAGCGTCGTATATTGAGGTGTTTGTAACGCCATCACGTGTGTCATTGGCGATGCGTATGCTCAAAACATACACGTAATTGACATACACATATTGTGCTTCTATTTGTGGTTCGTAAAGCTTACGGACGAATATTTATAACGATTATATCTATTGTCGGCCAGATGATAACAATATTATGTTCCATGCAATCTTGTTCTGACTGGTGTTTCAATTGTTTCTAGGGTCGGGGATTATAAATTGATTACAGGACATCCAGATTTATTGTATCCATTTCGAATGTTGAACAGATCAGGTAAATACATAAATAGTATTTTATTGATAACTCATAGGATTCAATATGCAGAAAGATTACTGTATGGTTGCCATAGTGTGCACACTGAAGGTAATGAATTTGCAGTTTATGTATGTCAATATTAATTGCATAATCTAATGTATGTCAATGTATTGGTATTTTAGATGATTGGTACAACTATGGAGACGAACCTATAAGCGGGATTCCCATTCCTCCAACTGGAAATGAACCACCCCCATCAAACGTGACATACTTGTTCAATATCATAGGTATGATTAACGCAGTTTAGGTTGCTCATGTGGTCTTGCACATTGTATAGTATAGTGTGGTTATGTTTGTTTTTTTCTAAAGAGCAGAAATAGTGCCAGGACAAATATTCAATCAATCAATCAGGATATTTTGAAGAATTGTCCCATTTGTATTTGCATACTTGTAAAAAAACACTTGTATGCAGTTACAGAAGAAAGTAATCATTTACAATTATTTGCCTTGACTTAAGGTTGTATGCACATAGCCACTTCCAAAACACATTTCCCGTGATATCTAAAAGTTTGAAATTGTTTGTATATTGTGTGAATGATGTTACGTAATGTATTCTACTCATTCTGATGTTTGTTTTTCAATGCAGATGATCCCGAGGAAAGAAACAATCTCGCGGAAGAATATCCAAACAAAGTAGAAGAATTACGTCATCGCTTGGATGAATACCGTGAACATCTAGTTCCACCAGTAAACCGAGTTTTTGACCCAGCTGGTGACCCCGTGAATTTTGGTGGTGTGTGGTCTCCTGGCTGGTGTTAGTAATGATTATGTATAAGCTTCAAGCGTGTTACCTAATTAAATTATTACGTTACTTGTTATCACTTCCAGTCGTATAAAGACGCGTACAGTGTTGTTATTGTAACCCTTAGACTCGGCTGATCTGCACTGGCTCGGAAGATGAATTCTGGTTGGCTAAAAAAACAAAAAAACTTGTGGCGTTAAATGCACGTTCATTGTCAGTATTGTTATGCAAATTCAAACTAGCTAATCATTTACAACCTTCCGAGCCAGTGCAGATTAGCCCCTTAGACTGGTATAAGAATAAATAACGCAAATAAAATACTCAATATATAACATATGATTGTCTATTTTATTTAAGAACATAAGAATAGAGGCTTAAGTGCACTGGCTTCGGGATACATCAAATACAGTACACTGCAACTACTTCATGACAACAGAGGTTACAAAAACGGTTGTCTCTCCTGTTGCATTGTACCTGTTTGTTTTCTTTCAATTGGTACATATGGGCAGTAACTGTTGTCTTTACGCCTTAAGTGGTTATGGCTATGGCTGGATGGTATTAGAAGCGCTGATACGTATATTCATGTAGCATGTTCCTTCATTTTAACTATTACAGCTATCACATTATATCACAGTGTTATTGTGTTATAATTATTGAAATTATTTTCATATTTAGGAGACTGGTCAGAAATTACATGTACATAGAGTGAGCTAGTGGGAGGTAGTCAGGGAGGGCTACAATAATCAACGCAGCAGAATAGGGGTGATACCAAATAATTGGTTTTCACATACAATCATTTGTGTACTGCTTGTCAAACATTACATCATCTAATAACAAAACAGTGTATTTACGTTCCCCTGGGTGATTTATTTGCGTTTTTAGATTAGATTCACGCCACGCATTTGATACATTAGACTGGCGCGGTCGGGATGATTAATTTGTTTTTGTAGTTTAAATAAAACTGCGCCAGTCTATTGATACATCTGCAAATTACATTCTTGCATTTTGGTGTGTGTAATGAACCAGTCATTTATAGTCGAACGACTAGTATAAATACTACAGTTATTTATGTCCAGTAATCCGAGATATATTAGTTGAGTTCTGCATGGGTAACACACAGGACCTACAGTTTTACATCCTCTCTGACTGGACGCCTTATTCGCACCAATGAATGCCACAAGCCTAGCAAGTGGAAGTGTGTAGTCTTTTTGTTTTTTATTGATGTGCGTGCAACTGACCAAGGGATTCGAAACCACAATCACAAAGATGCTGGGCGGTCACGGTAACCATTAAGCCACACATCAGTGTAAATAGATCGACTTCACAAATATCTTATACTGAGTTGCATTCAAGCATAGTATTACATATAGTCACAGATACAAATAAAATTAAATAACAAGCGACCTGACGGTCGAAATAGCTCCCCCGTTTTAGCAGCAATAATTCATAGAGAAATCATCATGTTCATACACATTTCAATTTTGACTTGTTGGTCATGCATATTCCAGGGTAGAATGACAATGCTGATGCTCCTAGTTGCTCACACCTTTTGGGGAAATAAGTATTAGAATCTTCTCACTAAGCGGAAAGCCATTCCAACAAAACTGTTGATTATCAGCATAGCACTCAAGCTGGATCTTTGACCTAAGATTGATGCACTGTGCCAGTGAGGGCTTCACTATTTCTCACAGCATGTTGAATTCAGCATGTTGAGCACAAGCACCTGTGCAGGGATTGGGAATTATTGTTGTCAGTCTACAATGAATCACATGAAATGCAGGAGTATGATTATTTGGTGGATGTGCCAATTTTGTAAGAGCCAGTTGCCTAGATACAGGTCTATGTGCATTCATTGTAAATCACGGAAATGTTTGAGTGTACACAGGCCAGTGGTCTTTCACTATGGAAGTGTGGGCGTGATACTTTCCATAATGTGTCATATTTGTCCTCCCCCCTCCAAAAGTTAACCTACTTATGATTCAAATGTACTTGGTTTGTTGGATGTCTCTCGGCGCAGGGCCAAAACCTCACCTACAACATCAAAGCCAATGTCTGCAGGTTCCCCAACAATTCCTACCAATACCTACAGGTCAAATTGTGATTAGCAAACACAAACCAGATTGTAAACAAGCCACTTGTTGGATTTATTACACATGTAACTTACAGAGAATGCTGGTTGCATTGATGAAAAAGCATTACAAATGCTCGAGAAATACAGAAAATTACTATGAAGATTCGAGTAGAACATGCCCTTTGTGTTAGTTCCCGATTCAATGTCTGCAGGTTCCCCAACAATTCCTACCAATACCTACAGGTCAAATTGTGATTAGCAAACACAAACCAGATTGTAAACAAGCCACTTGTTGGATTTATTACACATGTAACTTACAGAGAATGCTGGTTGCACTGATGAAAAAGCATTACAAATGCTCGAGAAATACAGAAAATTACTATGAAGATTCGAGTAGAACATGCCCTTTGTGTTAGTTCCCGGTTCAAATTTGTCTGCATATTCAGTTACATGATACCGAGGTCATGGTCAAATCATTTTTTTCTAGCAATCCAGTGCACAACACACTGAATTCTGGGTAATGTCTTCAACCACTAGGTAAGTCTATTTATTATCTAACGAACAGAATGATTTTCTTTTCCAGTGAAAATAACTGCACTCAGACATTGTTAACTTCTGTGTTTTGCACCATACAACATTTCAAATACAGTGTTATAGCATCCTCTGTCCATCTCCCTAGATACTGTTTTAAAACACGCCTCTGCAAGTCTTCGTTCAGTTGGTTTTTCTGACAAGATTAGTTCACCATACAGGTACACACCCATTGCCTAAAATGAGAAATACAAACACGCAAAACATTGGTGAAGGATGCAACATTATGGCTTGCAAAAGCATTGTTACATTGGTTATATAGCAGGAATAGCATAATGCAAACAACGACTTTGTCCTACATAGATTAAGTTTACGTACAGGCATAGGCTAGTATATAACTTTATGCATGACAGAGTTTTTAAAGACTGAAAGCCATTAAAATAACACACACCTTAAAACTACTTATTAACTCCTAGAAACTAAGTTTATTTATTTGTTAGGTAGTAAACAATTCCAAATTGTTTGAGTAACATGTCTCTAACGAGTTGAGATTTTGATAACAATTGGCTTATTTCTTATTCCACTAACTGGAGTACGAAAACAAAGGTTTGATGAATGATTTGTGCGTGTTTCGCTGGGTAATAATTTTGAGCAATAAGATTTAAGCTCAAGAAATATTTCAGATAAGTGATAATCAACAAACCAAAACTGTCGGCAAAAGCTGCCCTTCTAGTGACGATGTGAACTTCGAAATACTAGTAATGAAACAACAAATTTGATGAGATTCACTAAGGTGATACTGTTACATATTTTGCATAGTCAAGTCACACTTACCTTGCATCCAATTAATATCGATTAAAACTCCTGGGCATTACTCAATCATGACCCCAATTCAAAAATAACACCAAGTTAATATAGTCGGTATGTGAAGGCAAATCAACCACAGTTTATTTCCATAGATTTAAAGCTCCTATGCAGTGATGGGCCCATCCCCCGTTAGATGTGTCAGCTTACAATCAGAAGTGATTGAAGTCGTTGGCCAATTCAAAATTACTACTGTCATTATAACATTAGGTGTAATTTCTACTTTTATATTCATTTGGTGTAATAGGCATGGCTTAATGAAGAAGAAAAAACCTTCTATAGAGAAATTATTTATGCACATAACTCAGGAACATAGGTAGAAAAGTTCTCTCACATAATGCATTGAATATATGTGTGCAATAACAAGCTCAGTAGTGAAAAGGTAATATGAAACTACTGTAAAATATTCCATTTTCGCTTGGAATTAATTTTGTTATTTTCACTGAAGAAATGATTCAGTGAAAATACAATTCTGGGAATATACCTGTTTTCCTATATTTTACTTTCAAAAACTAGTGAAAATTAATTCCATACAGAACACCCAGCTAGAATGAAGTATTTCACAGTATTATATATAAGTTTACCTGATCTTGTAGAAGGAATTGTTTCACATCACTATACCTAGCTCTGTATCTATGTTTGACTAGTAGCTCACACCACCTATGTCTAATTTCAGCATTTCCATGACTAACACCATAAACACTATCAAGCTGTTGTAGTGTTTGTACTGACATGGCTTCCCATTCCAGTATCATCTCAAGAAGTAACTGAATCTGGTCTGCACACAGCTGGGAAAATAATAACATAATTTACAAATGATTCCACTGATAAATGAGTAATCTTGTACACAAGATAGCAGCAGCGGCATTCACGTTAGAGATCTGGGCAAGTGCCGAGACTCAGGAGCAATTTGGCATGTGCCGAAACGTGTTTCTGAACGATTGGGGCCGAGTCGGCACACCTCGAAAAAAAATTGATCTTGGTCCTAATAGATGCTTGGGACTGAAATTCTACACGTGCCAAAATTGGCTGCCTGAACACTTGGCATGAACCAAAATCACACCCTTGGTTGTGAATTCAAGAGAACATAAACTGATTCATACCAGAATGACATGACGATGAAGGGAAGTGCAGCTATATATGGTCATATGCTGTAGTAATGAATGAAATTAATGCAAACCGTCCTCAGCTTCGCATATTTATGTGCTGCTGCAACCTTTTTTCCTCACAATGTTACATCGATGTAAAAAATAATTGTTTTTCGAATCTTATTTGCCGTCATGTGCACAATGACTCATAATAAATACCATAACAGCAAATTGATATAATTTCAATATAACAATTATTATTATTAATAACGGATCGACAAATGAGGATGTGATTTTGACATGAGCTGAATGGGTTCTAAGTGGGTCCTGACTAACGTGAATGCAACTGATGTAATCCCTCTGCAAACAAAAAAGCTTTGAGACCCCATAACGTGAACGTAGCATATATAGTTCACAAATGACCTCACTAAGCTGGAAAGATAACAGCATAGTTTAAAATAACCTCACTATAAGCATGTGAACTAAGTCATGTCCACACACAGCTGGAAAGATAACAGCATATAGTTTAAAATAACCTCACTATAAGCATGTGAACTAAGCCATGTCCACACACAGCTGGAAAGATAACAGCATATAGTTTAAAATAACCTCACTATAAGCATGTGAACTAAGTCTTGTTCACACACAGCTGGAAAGATAACAGCATATAGTTTAAAATAACCTCACTATAAGCATGTGAACTAAATATTGTCCACACACAGCTGGAAAGATAACAGCATATAGTTTAAAATAACCTCACTATAAGCATGTGAACTAAGCCATGTCCACACACAGCTGGAAAGATAACAGCATATAGTTTAAAATAACCTCACTATAAGCATGTGAACTAAGTCTTGTTCACACACAGCTGGAAAGATAACATCATAGTTTAAAATAACTTCACTATAAGCATGTGAACTAAGTCTTGTCCACACACAGCTGGAAAGATAACATCATAGTTTAAAATAACCTCACTATAAGCATGTGAACTAAGTCATGTCCACACACAGCTGGAAAGATAACAGCATATAGTTTAAAATAACCTCACTATAAGCATGTGAACTAAGTCTTGTCCACACACAGCTGGAAAGATAATATCATAGTTTAAAATAACTTCACTATAAGCATGTGAACTAAGTCTTGTCCACACACAGCTGGAAAGATAACATCATAGTTTAAAATAACCTCACTATAAGCATGCGAACTAAGTCATGTCCACACACAGCTGGAAAGATAACAGCATATAGTTTAAAATAACCTCACTAT